AACTATCCGGTAATAAGCCTTGCAGGGGGTCGTTAGTGAACATAGTTTTGCAGGCCGTTTCCCCCACACTCACTCTAGTCTACAAAACCTATGATTTTCTGTCACCACATGGACAAGCATCTATTATTTCACACTCTGCGTTAGATTGGTTGACCAGTGTTCCCGTACACAACATGTGTTTGAAGTAGCATTCCATTTGGTTTTGCCGTCCAGATATGATCGGTGCCGGTACCCATGGGAAGAATACCGAAACAGGACAGCTGCGCACTGAGGATGGTATTCTGGTTACTTTGTCGACGTTACACTGCCATATACGTCTGACGGGATGGCTACACATTGAAGGGGTAGCTTTCCTGTTGGATAAGTAATGAGTACATAGGTGATTGCTATCGGCTAATGTCACTAGCCAATCTTCTGAATGCCCCTGAATTTCACCCTGGATAGGCGGCAGTTTCAAATTCGACTGCGTCCCCTGTTCATGGCTGTCATCAATCATTGTCAAGCAGGTGATTGACTGACTTCTTGCCGTTTACTCAGTTGGCGAAAATTAACCTGTGATGCAGATAACTCTCTGACATGAAAGATACGTATGTTTTGCTGGTCTATCGTGGATGTTTCAGAAATCCACTTACGGATTTTAGGCCTTCATACTATTAGTTCCCAGGAGATCTGATCTTGACAATCAAACTGACGTCATGCAGGTCGGTAAAAACGTTCCACGCTTTCTTGAATTGAGTCCGCTGAGATTTTTGCGATTTCCCTGGTGGATGAATTGGCTTACGAAGTCGCCTTCCAGTTCCATGCAATGTTTTAATCGTACTACAAACATTATAGGGAGGAAAGGGAATAACCGTACGGAACGTTCTTTCTCTTAATTCGGAGAGTATTCAACCGGCTCCATCTAGAAATCATCAACTCCGATGTTCTGGACGTGAAAACTGTTGGTCTGGTTTTATTGATTCAACCCGAGTTTTTATGGCGACGGCCTACTTTTATGAGGAGTGGTCAATCTATAATTTTATACAGCCGCGTGAAACAAACAAAGCCGAATTATTCATTACTACCGTCGTTTGTCGGTATTCCATCCTCTCAGTTATTTTCCCAAATGTAACAAATCCAGTTTCATCAATCCAACCAAAAAGTCTTGCACATACAATTTTGCAAAATGTTTACCGACCGGAATTCATTCAGTCATCTTTGCAAACCAATGTGGGGAATGAATGTTCCATTTATTGTCAGCCTACTTAACCATTTCCTTCACAAAAGTGGATGGAATGTGTGCTTGAAGCATCAGTTTTATAGACTGTAAGTAATTAATGAATACTATCGGAATCCCGATTCCTGCAGCTTTCATAAAACCGCCGAGTTTGTGGGAAATTCCCCTTGTTGTATTTGTGGCGGAACAGTCGTGAACGATCTGTTCTATCTATGGAGTTCATATCAGTGAGTCGGCTTAACCAACTGACACCTTGCATGGAATTGAGTATCCTGAACATTCTGGACGAGAGCCAATTAGAGTTCCAGAGCCACCAATATTTCGACACATTGCTCAGACACTGTTGGTATCGACATGGATAAAATAATCTAAGAGGGTAGGAGGGTATTTTCTTGAAGCGCCTGTTCTCCGTTTGGCTTCAGGGTTATACTGGGGAGTCCGAGGTCATTCATCGTCCACACGGTGTTTTTTCATGTTTGCGTCATGGCTACGTATTGGCGATCGGTTTTTCTTGGGTAGTAAATTGACCTGGTTGGTGTGAAGCTCAGAGTTCCCTGATAAACATGAGCTGACCAAATTGTGAATAACCTAACTCGGTCGCTTGTTTCAGATCAACTACCAAGTTTTTTCGGACAACTCAAAAATGTTTATTAGAGTACCATCGATCAGGATTTTAAGCAGACCCATCATGTACTCCTAGAAATTTGTGTCTTGATCAGGGTTTGATAGTTTACCTGGTGAAAAAACGAAGCAATTTACCACCAAAACCGGGTCTAAATTTTTCCTACCTTTAACTAAGTTCCTTGTGGCGTCAAAATCACTGAAATATCCGGTAGCATATGAACACTAGGAAGATTTGGCAGGTGAACCCAGAACCTTTACTGAACATCAGAATTCGTCTACTTTTTAATCTAATAAAATCAGCGGAAAGAAAACGGACAGTAATGCGTATACCTTATACAGTAACCACGAAACAACCGAAATTACTGTGTACCAACACCACCACCCGCGGAAATGGACGGACGGCGAAATTTGCGGCGTTGTATTTAGGGACTGTGGTCCTGTAAAGATTTCGTTGTATGAGTTTACAGAGCACTGTCGCACACAAGATAACAGTGATTTGTGTGGCACGGTACAGTTCAGCTCTTTCCGTCACCGCCTGTTGCGCAAGCCTGGACATAAGTAGCCTCACTATCCTGAGCATAAATTCTCATTGACCTTACATAATGCAAACTCAAAGAGGGAGAGAGATATCTGGAAATAACGAAGCACCGTGAAGATCGGACAAGTAAAACAAAAGTGCATCCACCAATCAGTCGATAGTGCCATGCTTATCCCCATTTGCCGAAGGTATTTCGTCCACCGAAGACAATTTTACGGTTAACTTGACCTGATTCGGCAAATGGCTTTTGAATAGTCAAATTGGCAATGTGTTGAAATATTAGTAGCTTAGGTGAGTTGATTGGTTATTGGTCAAATGGCTGTAAGCAACGAGGAAGGTTTACTTGGATTTCGTGAAGAGAATGAAACTCTCAGTTACTATTTCAAAGCCTTTCCTGTTGTACGGTTAAATGGAACACTGATAAATAGTGGGGCGCTCTGTCTCTCTCACTTTAGGAACTTGGTTCTATAATTGCTGACGAGCAAAAGTAGGATTATCCGATGGACACTTGCATTTCTAGGTTGGCAACTTTGACAGGATTCAATGTATTCTCGCAGGATACTCGAAGAATCAGGAAGTCAAAAACTGTAACCACTATTGCTGTAAGAAGATTATGTTGTTGAGAGGCAATTGCTTCCAAAGTAAACCTCCCTGACCAAAAAACACCGTTAATCTTAAGTAAACAGAAGTTAGGATATTTGTCACATTTATCCGAAGCTTATTCAGCATTCATGTGCATTCATTTAGAAAAAAGAGCGAAGTCATCTACATTGATTACGTTTTGGCCTGTATCCAGTAGCTCCATCAAAGACTGCCTTTCACTTCGCTTATCAGACCAATTAAATTTGCACTTCTTCATTCCCTCCCCTCGAGAGATCTTTGGACAAATTGAACGACCTCGTGGATCGAAAGTACACACGTCCCGGCTGAACTGGAGACCAACGGTTGCGAAACATACCCCTAAGAAAGCTCAGGTGACTGAACTTGTCTATGTTCTTACCATTTCTTCTTTTCACTACGGAGCCAAAGATGGTATAAGTATGTCAACCAAACTTTTGTGCACAGTAACAACCAACTTAATCTTTCCTCTTCAAATCGACCCCTTAAGTTCACTTACAAAAGCATTGCCGTTGTGATGCAGGTATCAGTATGAAGTGCTTTATGCTTGGGACCGGCGAAATCAATTCGCATTTCCTATCCTCTCTCTTCTTCTAGTGCACTGTCGATTTGACTCCCTAAAATAGATCTTGGCTTGCTTTGCGACAACCGTGATTTCAGAACTAGGTTGGGCAGGTTACTGAATGTGCGCTGGGACATGAAGTGGTCTGAAATCGTAGTCTGTGTGAGTATGCAGTCGTAAGCAAAAATTGTGACGAGCGGGTAACTATGTGTTGAAGAAGAATTGCATTGATAACCAAAGTAAGTTTTCTCGCTAACAATGACCAGATTTAGCTGACACTAGAAAGCTTGTTTTGCTTTGCTTCTTATTCAAATTATTGAAATTATTGGCGGGAAACTCTGCAAAATTTGTTTCCATATTTTGCCATCTTTATTAGGGAAAGGTTGATGCCTATACTCATAATGGTGTTCCCGTAGTAGTGGTGGATCCACACTATTCCCACGTGTACCAACGTTTACACGCATTTTGCCCATTGGACGAAAGCTTGGGTTATATTTGCACTAGTAGCTGTAATGTACCAGGAGTTGACCACAGCGTAGCCGAAACTCACCCAAGGGGATCGATAATCTTCTCTAAAGTTAGTACTTATAAACTGTCACTAATTTTCTGGTTTCAGATGTCCTAACGATAAGACTTTATGCAAGGTGAACCTAACAAATTTAAGGGTCCCTTTACTTTACCCGTTAGTATACATGCAAGTTTTACAGGACTGTTACCAGAACGAACTGTTAATTGCCAAAAATTTCGTCTTAACTACGGACTGATCGATTCTGATCAATTCTCACATTTTGCTTATATTTGTCGTCATCACATGTTCAGCCACCAGATTGCATCGTGCTGAGCCCCTATTGATTTATCATCGTTCCACTCTCACATGTGACTCCATTGGTCGTTGCATTTCGTTAGTTGTCTACCCGATCATGCATAACTGTTGTTTCCTATTGGTTATTCGGTGAAGAGCAAGTCCCAGCCAATTCCTGCCATTTTCCGATGTATATAACCGCATTATTTAGCGACAAAAAAAGACCTGTTCCTGTGCTCGACTTTGGCTTCTTCCTTACGCGAGTTGACGGGTTGTCTACCCGATCATGCATAACTGTTGTTTCCTATTGGTTATTCGGTGAAGAGCAAGTCCCAGCCAATTCCTGCCATTTTCCGATGTATATAACCGCATTATTTAGCGACAAAAAAGACCTGTTCCTGTGCTTGACTTTGGCTTCTTCCTTACGCAAGTTGACGGGTTACTTCCGGACGACACAACAAGGACCATCGTGTCTATACGGGTTAAGGACAATATTCTCAAATTGACTGACCTTTATATCTTCTGCGATCATCTGATGCTTTTCTTTAATCGTTTAGGGAAAATCGATGGATGAAGGCCATGGAATTTATCTTGTTTTTTTAAATTTAATTTGGCAAAGTTCCAAAACTGCAAAGCTGGCCACAAGATAAACCACCATAGTGCATATCTGTTAATGCTTTTCGGGAGATGACACACATCTCACTCATGACATGAGACTAGTCGGTTTCGATGACGGTACCACAGTGAACATTGTGAACAATTACTTCCAAGCCCACACACACACAATGCTGGATACATCTTCGTACATGGATAAAATTACTGGTGTGATGAGTTTACAGGGCCGCACTCGTAGAAAATACCAAAAAGACTAGCTGGAAGACGATACATTGGAAGATGATGGCTCACATCGATGGTATTTAAGTACAGGCGACCGGGATACATCTTTGGCTGCCACAATATGTTTATATCTGTTGGATTCCCAAATATTCTCTTTGGGTATGAAGTCACCAAGTGCTGCTGATTTAAGATGAAGCTTCTTTTCGCAGTACTTTCTAAGAATTTCGATGCCTTGAAAATGAAAAAGAATGAAGACACTCAAGTTAACAAATCCACAAGATAATCTCAGAGCACATTGATATGCTGCAAATCACAGATGTCAACATCATCGACATCGGCTACAAAAACGGCATAGAATGGTTATAGGTCGTCATCATCAGTGTCAAAACCACTTTCTTGCTGTAGAGTGGTTATGACTGCCACGGTTACATTCACCGACAGTTGGCGGTGGTGGGTAGATAGCTATGCATTGAAGGCGGTAGCTGGTGTAATTGATGCCTAAATGCAGGGTTGTTGGTTGACGTTTATTTGGGGAGATTAGGAGGGGCACAATGCATTGAAGACAACAGATAGGATGCAGGACTGGGCCGCATGTGGGCCATTTGTCAATGTTTCTGAAAATTGATGGGAGCCGTCTCAGGGTCCCCATCCAGGGAAACGGCAATGACCAGCGCAACTGAGATTGCTGTTAATGGCTTCCATACTTTGGTGCCATGTCATTGTTTGACCTCCTCTGAATCGTTTCCACCCTTCAAGTTGTTGTGGAAAAAGAGGCTTTCGGGGTAGTCGGTCGACTGGCATGGGGGGCACGTGACCAAGCCAGTGCAGCCTATGCTGGCCGATCATTTCCTACCAGGCTCGAGCAATGCTCCGAAGAAGTCGATCACCAAGCAGCGAAAGATTTTTGGCATCCTCAGAGCGCAGCGTTCAGGTTTTTGACCAGTATAATAATGTGCATTGCACCACACTATTGTAAGCTCGACCCGTGACGGATAAGCGGATGTCAAACCTGCGTCACAGAGGATACAGATTCACGAAGGCTGCTCTGGCTTTCCCAGTGGGGATGGAACTGTTAACTTTGGTTGGACAAATTCGTCTGCTACTTCAATCGGCTCATTCGCGAGTATGAGTTTAGGGCTCGAACCCAGTCAGTCTTCTGGCAGCACATAACAACTTGAAAGTGTGAAGCGCATGCCAAATCGTGAGACTAAATTGTTTAGATCATTTAATATTGTCTTCATTACCATATCCATGAAGTAATATGTCATCCACATACTCGATATTTGTGAGCAAATGTCCCGGAACACTTCAAACTCACAGAGCTTATAGGCTGGTAGTGAGTCCTCAATGATCGAATCGATGAATAAGTTGAGGAGAAAAGACGAAATAAGACCGCCTTGCCTGATACCACTTGATGTAGTGAACTCAGGCAAGAGCCTCCTGTAACCCTTCCCACATCCGCGGGAGCTGCTGTACAGCGCCTTAAGAAGGGTCAAGAAATTTTGAGGGACACATTGCTCCACAGGCACTGCCATAGTGCATGAGGGTGCACAGAGTGGAAGGCAACTTTCGAGTCGAGAAACCAGTGTTGGTCGCCGTAAACAGTGACACTGCTCCAGAATCTGTCGAAGGGTGAAAATGTGATCGATTTATCCCCCTGAAAGACGGAACCTAGCTTGGTTTTCACGGACCTGTCTTCCTAGTGTACAGTCAAACCTCAGAAAATAAGACCAGAGGGCTCCTTTGATGCTACAGCTACCAGGCTAGTGCCAAGGTTTTCATACAGCATCCGCGTAGCCTTCATGAAGATATGGCTAACTGTCTCCATTACCCATTCTGCAGGCACTTTATCTTTGCCTCATATCGCACCAATAAGCTTATTTGGATAGGTCACAATGTATTCTCTGCCTTCTTTGTGGGGGCTAGGTACAGACCATCCGGTCCTAGGGCATTTTGACGTTCCAGTACGGATATTTTGCAATTTATTTCTTCTGACAGGCGATTAAGGTTTACAGTCCATTCGTCCGTATGCATTTTCTCTAGAGGCTATGTTACAGGAGGCAAGCTAAACTGTTGTTTGAGATGTTCGGCGTCTTTGTGGGTAAATTAATGGATCAATCTTTTCACTTATTCTTTCACTGACCGTTGCTTTCTGAAGGTGAAGCAGATATCTGACCCGTGACACTCAGCTCAAAGCTGTCGATCTCAGAAAAAGCGGACTGCACCCAGTCTTGTGCAGCGGCTGGTGCTCTAGGAAGCAAACGATTTGGTTAAACTTCTTTTGACTTATTCAGAACGGTATGAACCTTGGGGGAATTCAGGTTATTCTTCTAGCAAAAAGTTTGCGTGAGGAAGCTTGCCGATTTCATCCACTTCTGCTCCATGAACGTCTGGTTAGATTCTAAGGTCATGGTTTGTGAAGTATCAGGTAAAATTAAAGATTTGCAGACAAGTTTGGTGAGAAGCCTGGATACTCAACATCAGATTATTTAAGGCCAATAGCTTTTCAGAACAAAGCATGGTATTCTAACTCTTGATTACTTGCAGAAGTTGGTGTTATTGAAGTTCCTTAGATTCGGGATTGAACACCCACGTTAACGTACGACGCAAACCCATCTCTCATTTGTAATATTCCCCGGCAAAGTCCGTTCCGTGGTTCAGGTACGTGGACAGTCAAGGTAATGCACTATTTCCCCTGGATGCAATAACACATGTGACGCCGGTGAATGCTCTTCAAAAAGACCTCAAGTCTCCATTAAAATGTCCTTCAGTACGTATCGCTTCAAGAACGCGTTTCAGTATCCGTTCCGGGACACGTTTAGCTTTGAGAAAAAACGATCAAATTTCGTTTGAGATGCGTGTACTTGGGCTCCCAGGTAGATGATGCTATTTTATTAGAATTCTGAGCTGGAAGGTTGGGAACCACTGTACAACTGTTTCGTACTTTTTGGAAGTCGCCGGCAGCAGCACTTCACGATCATCTTGAAGAAATCAAGCCCGTAACCCATCGGCTAAGGTTAATGTTTTCTGTTTTTACCAAAGACATAGCATAAAATATATAACAAAACAGGAAATGAAATGCGCTTCGTATCACTACAGAAGTAGAGTAGAAGCAGGGTCCATTAGCTATGAATAATCCCCGAGGCTGCTTTCGGTTTGCACATTATTGGACTTTCATGCATCTGGGCTACGAGGGGAGGTCCACTGGAAAAGGGGCGTGTCTGTTTTTAGCTATGATAATCCCCGAGGCTGCTTTCGGTTTGCACATTATTGGACTTTCATGCATCTGGGCTACGAGGGGAGGTCCACTGGAAAAAGGGCGTGTCTGTTTGGGCCTTGTAAGTTACCGATTGTCAATGGTGCATAAAAAGAACAAAGCAGTCTATCAGCTTGATCGAAACTAGTGTCACAGACTGTGAGAAGTATATGGAAAATAATCTCTGCACTCACAAATCCAGATACAGCCTTCGGACAATCTTTGCTCTTATCTGGAACTGTATTTAGTTATCTGAAATCGGATGCGAAGACTTTTACCTTCAGCGGAATCTCATTCGCTTCCCACATAACTGACACCTGGCTCGATCTCAACCTAACGAGTTGTTTCACGTTATCTTCCGCGTACGTAAAAGACTGCTAGTATCGCTCCATCGGCGTTCACAGACTACAGTCGAGGCGGTTGCAACACGATCACGAAATATAGTATCACACTGTCCCAAAAGGTTTCGTACGAGATCTGGGTCTATCATGGTCAGGTGACACGAATCGATTGACCCAGTCGCTTAACTGCCCTCTATACCACCTCACAGCATCCAATTAGAGGCAACTTGAGCTTCACTGATAACCAGTCTCTTCCATGTTTCCCTATTATCTAATTTATTGCCCGATCTTAACTGCTTGAGGACAAGATCCTGTCACTGAATTTTTGTTGAAACAGTTAGAATATTAAAGCATCTTACCTTCTTCTTTGTCTTGAGCGAACTTTTGTAAATAGGCTACGCATAACAGGTTTGCGTACCGCGGGAATTCAAAGTAGGACAAGTAACGAACGGCTAGTCCTGCCGAACTGGGTGGAAAGATACATTCAAAACCGCCAGCACGTTCTAGTTCATCAACCATTTCAATAAGAATCCGCATGTCAGATGGAGTCAGCGTCTGTAAAATATCGCATGTGGCACTGGCCAGTCGGACACGAGGTAGTACTGACTGGAATCGTGTAGGAGTCTGAGAGCTGGAGAACGGAGATGCCGAAACTGATCGCTGATGGGTACGATTAGATACGGAATTGCCTGTAGTACCTGGAATGTGAGTGGATGATCAGAAGTTACTAAATTGATCCTACTTGCGCTAACAGTAAAATGTTTCTAGTGGAAAACTGAAACCGGATTCTGCGTCACATTATTCGGCCAAGGTCCATTTGTCCATGCACCATAGATAGAGTGCAGTGATGCGGCTAGTTGTAAAGCACTTTCAACTCGGGTACAATTATCTACCTATCCGATTTCAAACGCATTAAAATACTGCCAAACCGTGTCGAGAGATGAAGAACGGACACACTATTCTTCCTGGAAACATGCTTCAGTGTCATGCTTACTGCTTCGGTATTACCAAGATGCACAGTCCTATAAAAACACATTCAGGAAAAATCAAGCCGCGGTCATCTGGCTTCAGAGTCTGAACTTGGTACACCCCCTATTGGAGGGAAAACCATGATAACAGACTGGAGGATAAGTGCGCATTATTTGGCTGCAAACAAAGTCGGTCAAAACTTGAATCGATTTCAATATACACTTGCAATCTGATCGAAGAACTGTGTTGTTATTGGGTTGTAACAAACCTAGCTTTTGCGGCGTATTACGTCTGTTGATTTGGTATGGCAGACGGGCACATCTTGGCACGCGGAACCACAAGACGAAAAAAAGGAACTTTTGGAGGTATACAACTAATTCCGTGAACCACTCGTTCAATCTATGCATCACTGCATGCAAAGCACTAATGACTCAAATACGGCCAACTTTAGGATGAAGTGACCAATAGAAAGGAACCACTGGAAGTATATCAGCGAGGGTCATCGCGTGGAAAAAAGAGGAGTGTATGCCAGAGCTCGCTCCAGCAGCTGCCAATGAGTAAGAGCAGAAGAGATCATGCTCATGTCTCACATGGACATCAATCACCCGGAACAGCAGAAAATAGGCTCGAGGTGGCTCAAAACTTAAGGCGGGAACTTACAGACCTGGAGGTCCGTGACTCCAATCCAAGCCTGGTATCTCGACCACTTCTCTCTAGGCTTGGACAACCTGTTAGTATCTCAGCCATCTTGCTTTCTTCGGGTAGCGTGGTAGCTGTGCTACAGCTTGACGTAGAATTTTTCCGCACCGGGCATCAAGACAACCAACATTACTACCGAATCAGACGGCCAAGCAGTGTCTGCGAGCAGCACGCATTTCATCGCTTGCACACTACAACTCAGCGCACAACCATTGACGCAAATTCACGCTTGGTTGCACAAAGACGCACTGGTTATATCATATCGATTGGTACTAAGATGTTTGCATCCAGCTTGTTTAGTTCAGCGAACTAACTAAACGATGTAACCTGATCTACCCCGTTCTCCTCACTAGCAAACATTTGGTCATGACTGATGAGGAAAAAAATGACCTGTAATCCTTGGGGGAAGTTCCAAAAAATATCTTGGCTCATCTGGTTACTACCGGCAATAAACTGTGGACCTTAGAAATGCGCCCGCTGTCCTCGCCTGAATAAATGAGTTTGAAAGGCGTAATCCAAGTTGGACGCAGCGTTTTCATGCGAGAACTAGACTACTCATCTGTAGCCAAGTAATGTGAAGAAAGTAACTTTTCAAAGTGAAGGACCTCGAACCACACATGATCCAGAGGTGGCTCAAGAGGTTTTAAATAAGTCTGTCTTTCATTTGTGTATTTTTATAACCAAAGTTTTATAAAGGTTATAAAGTTTATAAAGTTTATGAAGTTTTATAACCAAAGTTTTGGCTGCGAAATTCCATCACCTAGTAAAAATAACACTGACGAAGCAATTATTCGACGGCTAATCAGCACACCAAACCGAGCGTTGCCCTGAATGCATACAAGACAGCGCATCTGTCAACAAACTAACTCTGTGAGCTTTACAAGCTTGAAAATGAAAAAGCTAATCCTTATTCAGACGACTGCCACCATCTTAACGGGATACACACTCATTAATCTACTGAAAACTTCAACAGCCTGTGGGGCTATCACACGGACGCAGACCAGATGTTTATGTTGAGTTTATGCTCAACATCAACGTGCATCCTCACTTGCGAAATCATATATTGTTGACTGGGAGCTAGGTGAAACCCAGATTAATCTCCCTTTCCTGATATTCCCCACTAAATGTGTATCAAAAATGCTGGCGACTGTTTCATCTGATACAGTATCCGAGATGTCACAATATATTTCCTAGACGGAACACACTAACCGTACGGCGGCTGTATCTCAAGCCTGTTACCAACTAAAACGTAAAGTGGTCTATTCGTAGTAAATTCAGTTGAAGAATGTCACAAAAACGAGAGGTTTAGCCAAGACTCCGGCGAGATGCCCGTTAGCAATAGAATTAATTCGCAACTTAATGTATTTCTACAAAAACGATATACTTTCCTGTGGGACTTTTTATGAATCTATATTATGTAATTCAAGAAGATAACTGGAAGCCAATTTGAAGATTTTGTGTGAGTCGTAGAAGGTTCGTTGCTATGGGAGACCATTCATTTTTTCATTCTGTTAACTAGGTTTAACTAGACAGATATTTCGATAATTCGAGGTACAATCATAAGCATCGACACAATAACATAAATATTCAACAGTGACACTTCCCTAACATACAACCATATTATATTTGATGGCTTCTTGAAGAATAGAATAAAAATGGATGGGGGGACTTATTGCTAGGCTCTCGCAAACATTCTGATATGCCTATACCTCTAGCCACTAATTCAGACAACCTCGTTGCAACTAAGACCAGCAACTCCACTCAACTCTATTACCAGCCATACCTTGCAGCGTCTCGGACCAAGCGGTTGGCTCATGCGGTTCCTATCATAGAAGGTGAGTCACACAGACAACCTCCAGTCGTTTTGGAACCTCTTTCATGTACTTCTATAAAATCAAATTTTGGCCATTTTTCTGCTTGCGCCCCAAATTGGTCACGGAAAACGGCGCTCGTTTTTGGCAAATAACGGTTTGACATTCGCAGTACATGGCCTAACCAACGCAGCTTCTGGTGCTGGACGCATTCTCAGATGGGAATCCTGGCTGCACAACTGTACATTTTTTTCGACGTATCATGCTATCTCTGAAGAATTCTCTTAACAGCAATTGGGGAAGCGTTTGGAAATACCTGAATATCTGTCACTTCCAAAATTTCTGATTATCACGGTGAATGGATTAATAAACAGCTCAATTTCTCGCTAGTCCTACAGTCATTACTCTGTTGAGGCGTAGTAATTACCTATGGGTGGCCTTTGAATTCACTCTGACTTTATTGAGGTCCAAGGCCGGCTGAACAACGTAGGAGCTTCACAAGCAATTAACAGCTGACTGGAAAATTGGACAACGCATGACAGTCGAATTCATTTTGTTTCTCATGCTTCAGTGCTGATGCTACAACACTCCGACAAGAAAATCACATGACAAATGTTCTATATCCATCATGGCATGCAAACTTGGCTTTATTATAGCAATCACTACTGAAATTGTCATAACCTACGTTTTTCAGAGAAGCAATTTGAAGGTGAGTCTTTTTTTATTTCCTTTCAGAATTCGAACCGGATAACAGTATCCACAGGTAGATGTGCCCTCCGTTCGGAGTGTCGGGAAATGCGGTTGTATCAACTTCCAGGAGAATATTCATTCAGTAAACCAGCATCTTTTACTTGTCGAGCTACAGATTTAAGAGTTCAGTCGCATTATTCTTAGATGGTTTGAGATCACGTGGAGCGAAACGCAGTAACATTTGTGTGTAACCCCTAATTAGGTGCAAAAACGGTCCCGCGTGCATTTTTGACTTCCCTGAATACTTGGAAGGCAACAAAGGAAATACTTTGGGCACACATGGACAGTATCACACAAGAAACAACAAATTTGGATCCTAGGCTTAATAACACGTAAACCAAAGCTGAGTTCTCGGTTTTCTTTTGTAGTCCTTCCACTGAACTCAAGTTCACGCATTTTTTTCCTTCACGATGCCCGGTGAGAACACCAGATGACAAAACATGTCATCAGTTATAGATATCCGAAAGTGCTCAGCTATGTCCTGTTGTCCTGCTGTTACCTGAGTTAACCGGGGATTCTCATCACCGAATTTAACTTGCCCAGACAAACATTTCACAAGAAATCTCACTCGCACTTTACTCGGTAAAACAGCTTACCACTGGCTGACTGGTTTGTTGTAGTCTTTGATACGACTTTTTCTCGGGGAGCTAAGGGTGGTCTTGGAAATGGAACTTCTTTGGCCGGCGGCCCTCGGTGACTTCTTAGATCCGGTGATGAAGGTCCTATTCCCATGGAACGCGCACTTCTAGGTTTATTATTCCCAGAATTAGTGCTGGCAGCTGACGGAACTGTACGGCGCCTAGAGAATTCATCACAGCTAGAAAAACTTTCGGAATCGGAGGAAGTCTCAGTTGTAGTGGATCCACAATCTTCATTGTCATCTTCCAGTGAAGTCACAAAACTCTTGCTGCACGGAGTCTTGGTACGCGTCGAAATACGTCTACGGCTGCCACGGCTGCCAGCACGCTCCAGCTTTCCACTCATTGCACTAACATTCCCAGAATTCGTCTTGGGAAGTTCATACTGCAACGCTCTGTTGACATAGTAGCGCCTCTTTTCCCGCTCATCGTGATTCAACTGCTGCATGTAAAGCCGTTGATCGATAATCCACTCGTGAGTTGGAGGCTTTGGTTTCTTTGGATTCTCACAGTCTCCAATGTTCTTTTGTTGAAGTTCTGCAGTACACATCTCTTCATTCATATTAAAGTGACTCTCGGGTGGTGTATGGATCGGGGTGATCGACCCGCCAGTTGGATCACAGTGCCATACTGGATTCATTTCAACAGTACAGTTGACTTCGGCTCGTTTTGTTGTGGATGGTTTCACAATACATGTAGGCATGACAGTGTGAGAATTCGTGTCTGATGGTTCGGGGATACGAAGACCGGCTATGTTTAACATATCTTTAACCATGTTTCCCTTTATTTTTGCATCTAACGGGGAGTCCGAATGCATGCTGAAACAAATATAAATATTTCTTTGGAAAAACACTGTAAACTGTTAATGCGAGATCAAATTTTCATCATAAATCCGAAATCTCCCGTGGGGTCATGCAAAAATTCCCAATTTAGTCGTAAATGCTAAAACTCTTTCCCCACTCAACGGAAAGCGGCGTATTCTGATACTGCTCTGTAATGAATCGTTTTTCCTAAGTAATGGAAGTCAAATCAGTCTGAGAAAAAATCAATGGGTGTTTTTTTCTTGGTGGGAGTTATCTCCATCTGCAACATATGGATTGGATCTCGTGACCACGCCATACCAGACGTGCATTCTGGATGCAGTGCCACTCATCTGCGAAGATCCACATGATGTGACGCAGTACTGGTTGAATAGGCCAGTAACTTCCCAGAGAAGGTTCAAGCAAGTGAATGTGGTATTGCACCTTCTATAAAAACCCCTCATGCGATACTTCCCTTTTCTGTGGCAACGTTTATAGTAGCCGTCCTCGTCCAACACGAGGACGGCTCTAGTTACGTTTCTTCTCTAACCTGGTTTGCAACTGGTTTGTTGGGCCACTTCTACTGGAGGCTGACTTTCATAACCCGGTGTATGGTTTGATAAAACGTAACACTTGCAAACTTATACATATGATGTCTACACAAGTAAGCATTAGAGTGATCATGCTCATTGGTCCCACTACCTTATTCCACCATAGATACTAAGTTCATAAATGTACAATTTGTTTTTTACAGCAATTTTTGGCATTGGTATTTCAGCGAGGATAAGTGCCAGAGTAACCTGTGGTCGCACGGGATGCAGAGAACTATCCCAGAGAACTGTTTTTTCTTTACAGATGCATCCACGCACACTATTGAACCTAAATTGACCGTGACAATTTTCCCATTCATTTGCTTACTCGGCCTATGTACTTTTGACTCTCCACTTGTTTTGCCCGCCACATCTTGCCGCAAAGACTGTCGCCCCCGACACTCGTGTATGGCACGTGTGTCTTGTGTGCATTTGCACGGCTGACCTACTTACCCATGCGAGTTCGTGTCCCGTTTGCTGAGCCTGCCCTGACTTGTTCTCTCCTGAGTGCCGTGTGATCATACGGCTAACGAGAATCACGTCCGCAACCCGCACTACTAGGCGAGCAATCCGCTCACCGTTTTCTGGAACAGTGCCCGTCAGTGACAGACAACTGGCGTTTGTTGTATACCCTTGTGTAACTAGTACAGAAGAACATCATAGAGTAGAACATCACAGAGAACATCATAAACGAGCGATTCAGCTGGGTTCCATGTGAGTCTCTCGAAAGAACCAAATTAGTTTGCAGATGAGTGTATATTCGCTAGTACAGTAGAACTTCGAATCCAATTCTTCCTTTCGATGCTCGGGACAGCCGAGCTTACACGTCACTTAACGTTCCGTATCGGGAACCTCAACACACCCTACCTCAAGTTATATGACCCAACTGACATTGTGAATTCGAACTTCTAAGCGACTCAACCATAATTCAAGTTAGCATAGTTCAGCAGCTGAAATCATAATCATTCGCTTTGACATTCCTATCCATAGAACAGCTTCGTTTGGATTCTGACAGCCGGAAATTAAAGAATTTTCTGTAGGCAATACACCTATTAAATCCATGCGAATGTTTCAGTAATCAGCGCAAGTGACAACTGAAGGTCGAGTTCAGACGCAAGGACAGTTTGTGGAAACCTATGTAGTGTTGGCACTAATTTGGGGGAAAGCTTTAACTTGGAAAGAGAGCCTGAAAGTATCTTAGTTAGAAATCTAGAAAGTGATGGTAGTTGACAGAAAGCTTGATTCTTAATCAACCTCAAAACAGTGTGAACATTATTTACGAGTAGACTGCATCCCTCTTTCTCTCATAATTGCGACCAGTGGTTCAGTAGGTTCAAATTATTGTAGTTCCCCCAAAGTCGCAGTATAAAACAATTGACGGACAAAACAATCACCGGTCCAAGAAATATATCAGCCTGTGTCAATAACCAGTCGGACGGCCTCCATAACTGACCCACTCAATAGCCATTAACTCCTCACAGCTTTTGGTGTTCGTTTTCCAATAAATTCTTCTTTGAAATATCTTGGTGTGACCCTATCAAGTAACCTCATTTGCTCCGCACATTCAAGCATCTATTTTTACGCTCTGGGACCAAAAAAGCTTTCAATCTCCTTCAGTGCTTTTAACGAGTCTTTCAGTTTTTTCACAATTCCCCGCTAGATTTACTGTTCCTCCTTTCCTGTTTCGGGATTTCTTGTCTTGCATTCAGGTCAATAAAACACTTTTCTGGGTGCAGCGAAATCTCAGAGAATGTCCTGTTTGCATTCGCACTAAGTAAGCATTTCGATTCTTAGTCCAGCTTTACCCAGCGGATTGTTTCCGATATTTTTTCATCCCTTTCACCTTTTTCTCTTTGAAACCACGTTTAAATCGCGATACTGTGCCAAGTAAAAGCATTCCCGTCACGGAAATTCCATGTGATTTTTCAGTCTCGTCTTTCGCCCATTTTCTAGCTAGTCCAACTGTTCTGTGTGATAACTCTCTGTTCCACATAAGTGATAGAAAGCACGAGTGATATTTGGCACTTTTCGAATAATTTGATCATTCGAAGTTGTGGACGAAAAATCCAGCTCAGAGTGCATGGATCTTTACTTGACTAAGCTTCACTTGCGGATGTATGAATAGAAAATATTGTTCTAGCATCATTTCGACAATGTGTTACATTTCAACCATTAGCAGAAAAACTACTCAAAGCAAGTTGCACCCATCCGAGACTGATTTCTTCTGTGAAGTGCTTATGATATGCTATGTTCAATTGATGTGGAATCCCTTGTAACCACTTCTGATGACATGGCTCCATGACTGACGCTCTGGATGACACTATATTCGGTTCAAGAGGAACTCGGGAATGGGTCATTTGAGCCCCTGTCCGTTTGCTGGAATCCCAAAACCGCTGCTACTTTGTTAGTCTTCTGAACTTCTCTGACGGTCGCACTGGAGGTAGTACTGGTGTGATGTGTGCGATACACCATCACTGAAGATTGTGGTCTTGTAATTTTAGGAAAAGAACAATTAACAATATTGGACGGTTAATAAGATTCGCGTGAATGCTAAACATCCTCAGGCATTTTTGTGAATAGAGGGTAAATCAGAGGCGCGATTCAGGCAAAGTAGTCGTTTGAGCCCCATAAATCACTAATAACTAGCTTCTCTTTGGTTAAACAGAATTACCGGACCGACTAGTCTCTTATTTCGGTCTCAAGCTGACTGAGATTCCACAAAAGCACCAGAAACATATGAATTACGGCTGGCCACGTTCATTGGAGAAATTTAACCAGCATATATTTAGAATCAAGATAGGGATTCATTCCCTCATGCGTTCACTGGTGATTATTTTGATCATTAAGGATCACTTGAAGAATACAACTACAGCGACACTCTAGCACACTATAGCAACACTTAGCCATCAACAACAACCAGTGAATGGTATTTCATTTGAAGTACCAGTGGCACCCGAAGTTGCTCATGCAGGGGTGACATTTACGTCTTCCTTCACTTGCCTGAAACCTCCGCAGCGGTTGCTGAGGTAGTTTTGGTCACAAGATAAGTGTGTTGTGAACTCGCAGCCAAGGTGATTTAGTCCTTCGTACACAGGGTAGATGTTAAGTGGAATATCTGTTTGTACCAGGGAACGTTGATATCGATCACTTTACATCAGCCGCTCTGGTGGTAACGGTCCCATTCCGACGTTGACATGTTCTGCACGACAACGTATGAAGCTCCGGCACGACACACATGTTTGTTGAACAGTCTCCTCCAAGTAATTGAGATGATTATCGCAGTCTTTAGCATTACGGTAGCAAAATGCCGTTGCGTTACTAATGCGTTGGAAGTAGTATAAATTACCAATACGTTTGTGAGAACACTTGATTGGGTCTGAGCTCAATTAATTTCCAGAAAAAATCCTTGTTGGAGTGACTTTGTCCTTATTGTACGAAAATCGATAGGTGTATATGTGGTCATTTAGGAGTATCTATTACCTGCTTATTTAACCGTTTTCTGAATAATGGATGAATGGTTGAAAATGTTCGCCTCAGAAAAATTATCATGGGTTCTTACAGAGGGTAAGACGATACCTAAGAATTTATGTAAGTCGATGAATCTAAGGAAGTCCTGTTGCAAGAATGACATGCACAGCCCATCAAAACTTTAATTGCGGTCCTTGGGGTGTATTAGGTGTTTATTTGAAAAGCTTTCCTTGAGGCACCTTTATCGGAACTACTCATTATGGGCTCAAAGAAGCAAGACCCCGACCTGATACAGAAAAGGGAAATGTGGCCATCTGCCTTGCTGATCCTTCGAGAAGTGGTATGGGCCGAGCTCAAAAATATGGATTCCTAATTAATTTCGCTTTTGAACTGAGTGCTCTAATAAAACACATGGTATATCCAGTCCCAATGTTGTGTTTCATGACCCCTCATTTGCTGGTATCTGTGTGTTAACCACCTTGTCACCTATTTTGACATTCTCAAGCGTCCTAAACATTAAATCACTGGTTCTTGTCCTTCGGAAGTAAACAGCTCGTCATTTCATATTCCTTTACGTCGTAATAATATGCCAGACACTGTTATAAAGTGACTGCTTATCTCTTTGATCAAACGTTTGAGTAGCCCGTGCTTGTATTTGGCTGCGCAGTGCCGATGTGTGGTATGATCATGTTTAGCTAAAGCAGATGTCCGATGAATTTCGCTATGTTGAAGGGTTCTTGGATGGAAGATGTTTTTGGTGCATTTGGCCTTAAAGGACAGATAAAATGCACCGCTCCTATTTGGCAAACTACCAGCACAATACAGGCTCCGGAGGAAATGTCGGGCCTAATAATACACTTCCAATAAGCGCACAGTCTGTAATTTAGGATTTACGTCTACGTACCGGACGCTTTTGAATGCTCTGTAAAGCTGCTGAAACAATACTGCGGTGAACCTGCAAAGCAAAGTAACAGTCTTCTATTGCTGAGAGATGTGCATACTTGGTTCGTTAATGCGAGCTCATACTCTTGTTTTGATACGGGGTACCGGAAAAGTCATGACCATACGGACAATAGGACTCTGCTTGTCGTGACGCATAAAAACCTCAGGAGAGTACCTACTTTTGGCCCTGGCCACTTATCAGAAGGCATCTTGGATGGGTGAGCGAGCTGAAAGTTAACTTTGCTTCAGTCTGGAGAGAGTGTACTTCTCAATCGCTATCTGTCACTAGATCGTTCAAAATTGGGATCGCTTGGTTCCTAGTGGTTTGGGGGATTGAGCTGTGCACTACCTTTCTTCTTTGCACTAGTTGGAGGAAAATGCGCTCCGCACTTAGCGTCCCGAGAGTGCGCATTGAACAGAAGACTTGCTAGCTGAAGCTTTATCCGCGCTTTATTGAACTGTATAATCTTTGTTCACCTTTCGGTACTTACTCATGCGTTATCGAAACACTTCCATAGGGATTGCTCATTGACTAAATCAATGCAAATCCTACTAGCGCCGTACGACTGGACTGATTTTGTTGTTCAAGTCTAGGACATGAACACTTATTGTGTATTATTAAAGGCACTGTCTGGTCGCTTGCCTAAAAAGGGGAACTATAACTTTGAAAGAACAAACTGAGTATGATTCAATAAGATATGCAATAGGCAATATCCCTCTCTCAAAAAGATGACACAATAAGCAAGTGTGTGCATTTAGGAAGCTGATTTATTCATCCAATAATTTGGTCCAAACGTTCAGGTCAACTTCTTAGTACATATGTGCGTATTTACTTTCGCATGTGAAACATGGATTCATGTGTACTTTTTGGTAAAAGAGCTCGGTGGAGTCTGATTCAATTCCGGCCATTTATTCTGAGAAATACTCGTGCATTTATGGGACGCGCGCAGCATTTACTGTTGTATGAGACTGTTTAGCCCCGTCGTATACCGTCGGTTTAGCGATTCAACACTTTAGCACTCCGACAGTAAACAGTCGAACAAACGATGAACAAAGTACCATTTTTAGCAAAGGTCTGCTAAACATTGACAATGGTCTCCGTACTCAAAACTAGCTTCTTGAATAAATAGAGTGTCTATATAACTACATTTTGAGTATGTGTATGAATATAAAGAGAACTTCTGTGTGACATTCAGATGCCCTCTTAAGAGCATTGCACATGGAAAACTTGCCTTGGTGATACATTGACCTCCAGCAACCATGGTTTAAGGTCTTCATCGAGAAAGATATCGAAACCAAACACTTCATTCACAGAATAAGAATGGTTGCAGTATGAGTGCATTGCAGTGTTGAAGGCTGCTTCCGTACTGATAGCGGTTTTGACGACCAAATCTTTGATATTGGACCACACTGGAGCTGGTGCTATGCCTTGTGAGCGGAAGTACACCCATAGTGCACGTAAGCTCCTGTGTTATCAGAGATTGGTGGGAGAACAGAAATTAGTGTAAATTATCTCACCAGATTTTTCTAACAGGTGCGAGTTCAGATACTTGAAAGACCCTACGTGAACAAGAGAATATTTGTATGACACAGATCCAAGACTTACTTAGTTAACAGACCACCATCCAATAAACGTTATCTTCTGCTTTAAAATAACGATAGTTTTTTATCTTACACCCGGGGCATACTCGACGAAGTCTGAGGAAGGCCAATAAAAGAAGCGGTGAAGGGTCACGCTTTTCGTTGTTGTTTAGTTCTCCTCAACTCTTGATGTGGGTTCGTTTGAAGCTTATTTGGTAGAAGCAGTCATCGAGTTTTGGTTAATTTAAGCACCGATTCGTTCGTAAGTGGAGAGGTACATTTATTTGTAGAATAACTTGTCGCTAGGAGTTCGAGTCGATTGTGTAAGTGGTTTTTTATTAAGAAAAGTACTTGAATACCTCGAATATCTTTCCAGCTGAAACATGGGACTGCCGTTTTTAAGTACATCCAGTTGAGGACCCCTATAGAGGGCATTATCAGCTGTTATACATTTGGATCTCCTGCTGACACAAAGTTAATTTACATATTAGTGTGCATCTCTAACTACACTTTGTGAACGTACATAGGTTGGTCTTGGAAACAGGGATCGCAATGAAACAGTTTTATGGGAGTTCTGAGACAATGAGGCAGTCTTCGAGCATTAGCGTCGCCAAATAGAACATACCTGCTAACTTAGAAGTAGAATGCTGGTCAGTGTTATCCCAACATCAAAATACCAATAAAGAAACTCACCAAGGTTTACCAATTAATGTTATTAACGGAAATAAATCTAATGTTCGTCCATCTGGATGAATGCTGAATAACTTACCATTTGTGTCCTTTCGCTGCCAAGTCACTTGAGTTGCTAACGTATTCCGAATTCAGCCGATTAATTGAGTAATTGGTCAGGTGAATAAACCGATTGCCGAGACAACGGGTGGCGTTGGTATACCTACCGAAAAAAATTTGGATTGTCTGGTCAGGCTTGGTACAATATTAGCATATTCTCAGCAGAAAAATTTAGGCTGAACAGCATCTAACAATTTAAATGAATCCACCTCAGACTCGTTATTCTGGTCTATATGATGTTAAATCCACGATTCACGCTTTATGACAGCTAAACCTGCTCGTCACTCTGTCAGAGGTGTTCCGAATTCAAACATTGACATGAAAAACTGTTGTGGTAAGGTTTGCCAAATCACTGAAGAAGAGACTTCACAATGATAAAAGTTGGAGACATAACCGTAAATGGCGCAGCACTAGAGTCCAGCAGTGAACGCCCGGTTCCAGTTCTCGCCTGCTGTAAGCTGAGGCTTGGATGGATCCTCCTTGAAAAATTATTCAAGGTGGCCAATTCACTCCTTGTTTACGTATTGAACATACAGCAGTGGATTTTGATGGTACCGAAGACCATGCAGAGTGGCAGTGGTGCACTTCAGATGTTTGTTTAGGTCCGCTCAAATCCCCTAATAGCTTATGGCTGTGAATAGAGAAAGCAAGGTTCCTTAATCTGATCCAATCTCACTGTACTATATGAAGCTAATGTCATTGTTCGTAGGTGAGCTTTCCCTGTTCACTAGAGTGTTTACTGTCGCGGTCTACCTGATGTGTTGGAAAAATGCGAGTTCGTGGGCCACTGATGAAAATATGGGGTGTTCAGGTTGTTCGCGTTCATTGCGACACATGTAGCAGGTAAACAAAGCTGATAAATAGCGATAGTAACAAAGAGGCTTTGTATATTACGATTGGGGATGACAAACGAAAATGCTTCAGCAAAATTTATCAGCCGGCGGATGAAAAGTGAGCGAGACGGTCTATGCTTCAAAGTCTAAAATTATCACACACAGCAAGCGCACAGTTGAAAGCTCGCATTACAGTACAGGAACTCGATGAGCGTTTGAGATAGTACCACTGGTTCCGGCTGAACTTAAGCCGAATACCGATAAGCTCATCTCTTACAAAAACGGTCTTAGTGAGTAGAGCCGCCTCTTCATGAAATCCTGACAAAACTAGTGAAAATTGAGTACTTACTTTGAGGGATGTATGCAACTGTCTACCTATAACAACTTACCGGTTCTTCAGTTAACAACCCAAATGTCCATTGGAAGTTCTTTCACCCAGAGCGATGCGTTCAGACGTATCTTGCGTAATAAATTGTGTGAATTCCAGCCTTACCTTTGCTCACCTGGGCTTTCAAAATCAGACTGCCCTCAGAAACTCTTGTAGGGCGAGTCAAGCGATTGAACATTATAGGTCGGAAAACGGTGCATCTGAATTTTTTACAGTTTTACAACTCACGCGGTAAAGTAATGGCCACTGTAATTCTCGATTACACTGGTATTAAGTACAGTCAGTTGGATTAAACTTATGAACCTAGTGTTTTGAAATCCCTTCTAAGTGAGAACGACCACTTCAAAGGTCATCAATGTGAAATCGCGCAGTCAAGCCGACGATATCGAATTGGTATAGATTATTCTCAACCCCTCACCTAAAAGTTTTCATTTTGGCAAAAATTTCGGTGACCACCGTTAGAAACGAAATGAAACAATTTCACGCTAAAGGATTACTTTAAGGTGCACAGATTTCAACCAGATTGGCGAATAAGATGCTGAAAACGTCCACTTATTTTTTCACTTTTGGATGCATCATCTTCATCTTCACACATTTGGCCCAATCTTTTCCCAGAATCTCCTTCGTAATTTAGTAACATATATTGAGAGCTTGTCCCTGCATTGCCTCGAGTGCCCTCTGTCTATTTTTTTTTATCTCTCTGGTTCAACATAACCCCATGAAGAAAAGTCCAATAGTTTTAGATCTGGCGATTGTGGTGATCATTCATGTGGTCTACCACAGCCTATCAACCGGTGACCAAGTTTTTGTTTTCAAAAACAAGCCATCATTCAAACTGTCTCTAGCAAAACAATCGTAACGATTCTCGCTGGCTCCATTTGACGAGGTAGAAGTTCTCGAAGCTATACTTCATAGGATACAGCTAGATTGAGGATGCATAACTACGATAACGTACTTGTCAGTGACATTACCCGGGAACAAATAGTCTGATTAGTTTGCTTCCAAAGATTCCACTCCAAACCACTAACTGAATATTCCTTTGACTCTAAACTCGAGATCGGTCAGCATTATACTGGGTCCAGAAGTGAGCTTCGGCTACTTTACTGTGAAAGTGCTACATGACTTCATTCGTGATCAAAACCAATGGTGTATTCGTTCGGTGCGAAAACCCAGCACAAAGTTACTTATCTGAATCGTGCAGCCGCAACTCTTAGCGCTGAAGCTCCCCAGATCTCATGAATCAAGTTTTCCAAAACGTCTTTTTGACTGCATGGTTCTTAGTCCTGCAATATTGAGCAAATTTTCGAGTATTTAGCCTATGTTACTCTTAATCTATTGTTAACGGAATAACCATAGTCTTCATTAGTGACATACCACGCCCGCGAATCGCCTTGATATAGCTAGCACTCTCAGTTCTTTTAAATCTCCCCAAAGGTTCTTATACTCATTTTGTCATCGCCCCAAAGAACAGTGTTACTCGCGTTGGGTCGCCACGTATGGTCACCGAGCTATATCTACGTACGGATTTAACGCCAAAGCTCCTGAAAACAATAAACTGACTAGTCACTAGATTAAACAAAGCGTTAGACCTCCGCAAGATACTTAGTCATACTAAACTGATTCCTAAAGTGGTCAGACGGATAACGTGCAAATTTTCGTCAAATTCCTCAAACATGAACAAACCCCAAACTGGAAATGAGGTTTTTGAGCGAACTGTACTGTACTGCTGAGAGGAGAATGCCACAAACATGTCACACGTTAACGCCGTCATTCCTCCATATTCGCTTCCAAAACGGATCATTCGGTTGCTAGTAATAAAATTATTATGATTGAAAACGTCCCTACTGGGCCATAGACTGTGTCCATAATCTGACTTCATCGAGCTTATCACAACAGAACAATGGGCAAGCTGAACACGACTCGGTTAGATTCAAATGTCTCTCTCTTCTGCTCAGCCAGAATTACCAAAAAGGCTTTGAAGTGCCTAACGCAGACATAATTGTGCTAGCAAAACGGGAGCACTGCATTTAATGACAGCCCATAGAGAGCACTGATGGTACTCGTAGTTCATCCAGTTTGCCTTTTCGTATAGACAGTCTGGTGTACATTCTCGACTACCGATAGCCAATTCTGAGCGGTCACCACTTTGTTCAACCCTTTATGAGGCGAGAAAATCTACGTTGAAGCGCACGTGATGTTTCTGTAAGTGGTGAGGAACGTTTCTGAACTAACTGCCTTTTTACTCTAGGTTCGCGAAATCATCTTTTGTACGTAGTCTGTTATGTAAATAGGACAAAAACTATCAAACATGTTCTACAAACTACAAACTAGCACTCCAGTGTCAAGCATTTACTTACTTTTGTGAAGCAAATCTGACAAGCCCATCTTCATGAATATACACACGCAGTGGGTTCACAGATGATATAAACACATAGATGCGCAGATCGAATTTGCTTTCATTTATTAGGAATGGACGAGCCAAATATCTAAAAAGACCAAAGTGGATCCGGTTACTCTAGGATTTCATTTTAGCCAACTAATGGTGATTGATTTAATGCATTTGTATTTCAAGCTAATTAATGCGTTTCGTTTCGAAAGTATTGTTCCCTTTATTTGCCGGGGCATCCGACGTTCTACTACATAAGTTTTAATATTAATTCGAATACGCCTGCTTCATCTCTGTCCTCACTGACAGATGGCAAAAATAAGAACGCTAACCAGTACAAAGACGAACTCTCACATCCAGACCTCTTTATGAAGTGGAATTCGAATGGGAACTCCTCAGCGTTATTTGAGCTCCTCAATAGTGAGTATAATCTACCTTGAAGTGAACCGCGGTTTGTATACCTGTGCGAGAATTTCACACCAAATTAATACAGATTAGTCATATTTCACCAGCACACACTTTCATATCTTGCTAACTTTTTAGCTAATCAGATTTAGGTCATGCTCACAAGACTAAACGAATTTGCAGTGACTGTTTTTTTGATACAGTCTATGTAAACCTACGTTTAAAGATATATTACCTAAGTGTTGCGCAGAAGCTTAGGTTGTCAGAAATAAAGCCGCTCGGCTGCAGGAAGACCCGATGGTGTCCGTTACACTAAATCAATGCAGAACTCCATTATGAATGCTATTTGAGTTTTGTTTACCTAGAATGAACCTCGACCTCCAACTCCAATTGTGAATTCAAAGCCAGGTTATGCAGGATATGCAACACCTGGTTCGGAAATTTAAGCATTCATTAATGAGGATGGACATCCAGACGGCGCTTGCTACGTATAATCGGAACAACTCACTTTTGGACAATTGCAGGCCGTTTCTTTGGAACTTGAGCCCATTTGGTTATGAGACGAACCCCGATTCCACGAGCTGCAGCGGGCTAAAATTGTAAACAATACTACTGGGAAGGCTCTCACAGCCGACGAGTTCACTTAACTTTACAAAATTCTTTGAACTGACTCAATCATAAGAAGCGCGGCCCCTTAAGCAGGAGAGTGGATATATCCAACTGTGTGCCATGTGGTTAATGTGTCCAATGCTGTCTACTCAATGTTCTAAACACTGACTCGGTTCTGCCTGTTCATTTGAGGCAGGATTCCCGTGGAAACTGCAGAGGCTCATCGATCCGTTTTAAACTAAAGGATACTATCCACATCAGTTGGCGGAAACGCACGGTTGTTCAGATAGTATGATTGAATATGCGATTAGTACGGCAGGAATTGTGTGAAAATTTGACAGGATGCTTTCGAATGATTACTCGTTTGCCTTCTGCAGCGATCAACTCTATGTCTCATAAACAGGGAAATTGCGGTATTGGGGAGCCTGATTATTTTCGCTTGCAAAATTGTAGCAACCTTTTTAAATGAGAACTAATCGTTCACATATAATATCCCTCCGATGCTTAGCTGACATGCCATCCGGAAAACACAAATTGTGATATTCTGCCAGGTTGTCCAAGCCTAGAAAGATTAGTCAGGGAGTCGTGTTTGGGTTCGAACCACAGACCTTCCGGGCAGAGCTCAAAATCGAAATGCCCATCATCATTTTGTGTTTGCTTGAAGTAATACAATTGGCCTCTTATATCATTGAGACCCATCGATTAAGCAGCATGAGTAGGGACGGCGCAACAGATGGGCTTGGTTAGTCGGTTAAATTCCGTTGGCTAAATTCAGAGGTAGCGATGGGGACCGAACCCCCAATTAAGGGTCACGGCTAAATTTTTATTAGCAATAGACAGTGTAGAATAAACAGCACTTTATTTTTTTGCTTTGGAAATGAGCCTTCTGTTAGGATAAAGTTCAGGAGAGTCGTGTACTCATGGAGTGACTGTCGAATCAAACGAATCAGAAACTAAGTTATGTGCACGCGTCTACAAAGTGCAGTCGATCTCCAAAAATTGGCCTTCGCGAACTACCCCTACGAAAGAATCACTAAAACCTTGAAGATATATATTCACTGTCACAAGACAATTGCCACACCATCTGAGTCCACATCCAGATGGAATTTTGTATAACAGGGAGTACGCAGCATTTTTAACGTGCATTTACCGAGTTCAGATCAATACCATATCAGGTCGCACTGCAACCACTGTAACTTAATATACATCTCAGTGAACTTCAAGTTCATCCCAGTGTAGCTTAAATATCTTACCAATTACTGTCAGCTGTAAGTTGAATGCGTTATTTTTAAAAAATGAGAATGATGTATCTCCATTTGAAAGTCTGTATGATTTCAGCTAGAACCTATTGCACCATCCAATGAGCCCATCAGCCAATCAGCTCTTCACTGTGGCTCCAGTGAGTTCATATGTGGTTTCCTGTGTATTTCAGATGTTGATCTTTTACCGAAGTTTACATGAAATTTCCGCGCCGTTCTGTCCTTATCATGCGGCACAGCGCGGCGATTATTCCTACAGCTCATTGCGCGAAATGGAGCTGCTGCAATCCGTCTGGTTTGTTTTTCTGTTGTCGTGTAGCAATTCACGACAGCAGCCCCTTACTTACCATGCATCACAACTGACCTCCACAGCCTATGTTTTCGGGTAGCTTTAGGGCCAGAGCCTGAGAGAACATACACCCCATGGAATAGGAAGCGCGACAGCAATTAATAAAACTAAGGGAGAGCTAGAAAGCACCCCCATCATGCCCTGTCGCTGTAATTTACGAGACGGGTCGCGTAAACTCAAACAAACAAACTTTTGGGTTGCTTCACCGCCCTACTAATGCTTCAGTGTTACCAGGGTCCGTCGTAGTACTCAGAGAAAAGAAGCCTAGAGTGGTTCACCTGGCTCATTTCCAAAAAATGCTTCACACAAACTGTAGGTACTCAGAGTTCATTAAATAATGATTATAGACAAATAACCTATATATGAACATGTGTTTGCTTCATGAGGCGATAAACGAGTCTTCAAGAAAAATATGCCCTTCAGATGTTCGGTATGTACTTTTAGACTATATTCGAATTTCTGTTAGGTTTATTGCTGTCTAGCTGTAGCCGCTTTTCTCAGGTACGGAATGCATATAAGTCTGAGCATGGGTAATGTGTATGTAACGATGTTTTCATCCCGTCTATGGCTTTCCACATGAGCTTAATATAGCGGCCCGTTTTCGGCCGCACGTGACATGCCTGAACGTGTCAGTGTTGAATACATCACCTGATTCGCACGTTCACTAGCATTAAGAAAAATGTGGTTTTCAACAAGCTGAAACATGGAAACCCGTCATCATGATACTAATGGTCAGCCTCATATGAAGCCGATGAATAGCAGCATCCTACTGGGTGGCATGCGTGATAAGACCCCGAGAGTATCACAGTTTTGCAACGGACCACCCTCGGACGTCTCTTTTAAAAAGGACTCTAAGCGAGGGCTCCTGATCAACATGATAACTGGTTAAAAGGCTTACGTTACCGGTCCCTAAACGTCTACCTGAACACATGCTCAGACTCTTATATGCATTGGCTACCTGAAAAACATATGAATCCCGCAAGATACCACCAGTCATCCGTATCCAAGAGAATAAACTCATCCTTTTGTTCTGAAGATTCCGAACCACTGCACTTTGGCACACGGTCTGCGGGCTGAAAAAAATATCTGAACTAACTTAACCGGATCCCCGAATAAACAACAGGCCCAGGTAAGAAAAATGCACAAGATTATTTATTATGATGTCTAAAGGGACATTTTAAATTTAGGCCATCAACCCCACCCCAAGGACCCATTCGTATTCGCCTGCGGGTGATGATTTTTGTGGATACGTTGATTTTTTTCATGGAGGCTCATTGGTTTTATCTCGTGAACATCTGTTCAACCGACCCAATATATGGAGATGTTGGAATCTTCTCAAGATTATTGATACTGGTATCTAAAGACAAGTCGTCCTGGTGGCAACTTTTACAGTCATCTTGGGGAATTTCGGAAACAGCTCTGTGAAATTCGACGCATTTGGTTATTCGCGCTGGCGCGCGTTGGAGATCGCACGTGCGCAGTGTCTTCGTGCTTGTGCGTCCACACATTCATAGGTGCCATACGTTCGTGCTCCCGTGCGCCCGTGCATTCATGCACATGATAACTGTGCGCATGGCTTAGGGGACGTGCGGTGGGGTGGAGTTTTGTGCACGGACCAATAGCGGTAATCCCCCTCTCTCATCGTGGTTAGCCAGTCACGAGAATTAAAACTAACGCTTCCGCTTTGTGCACTGCGCCCACTGTTCAAACTAATCTTTGTCATCTACTGGCTTTTGACGCCGGAAAATAACGCTAACATTGTCAGGCACCGTGATATCCTCTCGTTCAGCTGTAGCGCCTTTTGCGTGCCTAAATGCTACGTCACCAGGAGGAAGCATAGCTGGGATACTGCCAGGTTGCTCGGGTTGCCATGCGCCGCGGTATGCATGATATCGATTTTCTTATCGTTCAGTCACTTAAGGTTATGCCCGGTTCGCCTCTGCTACCGATCAGTCAGACTCAAGTGCGTCACTTGGTGGGATGAGCAATGCTACTTTCTCCGACTGGAACGTCCAATTTAAGTGACTCAGAATTGTGTACCGTTGAGGAATGAAAAGTACACCAGAAAGTGCAGCATGCCGATCCAAGCATTTATTCATGCTGGTTGTCATTTTCATAGCATCAGGAGATAAGAATGAGGATGAAGAGGTCGTAAGAGAAGTGAATCCAAATCTGATGTGCTTGATGATGAGGCATCGTTTGGCGATTTGATGCTGACATCGACGGCTCAGGAAGGTTTCCACATGGAGCTGTTTTGAAAGAGGCACCCTGGAGTTAAGCACTCTTTGTTTATCTGTAAGGTAGGCAAACTTACCGATTTATATTTCGTGAAACAGACTATTCTATATTACGAGTAATGGGACGGAAAAAGCTGATGCTTCTAATGTTCATCGATTTGAGGGAGCGATATTGGTAGAACGGGTGAAAATCGTAAAATACTCTCATTTGCGGGAGATTCAAAGGAAACGTTCGAACTACGCCTACCTGAGGACCTCCAAGAAGTCCGGGATCGATCGTGGATTGTTTATCAGATTTCAGCAAGCTTATGAATAGCTCGTTACGTCCGGAGAAAGCCGTGTTGTAGTGCAGTCTACAAAGCAGACCTATGACCAAACTCATTTGGAAAAACGCCTTTCTTTCGGGGATCGATTTGACGGAGCATCTCGAGCAATGAGGTCAGTGAGTGTGATATGGAGGTGCAATTTTACAGGTCATACAGCCAGTTAGGTGAGAACAGGAAAGTATCTCAAAAGTGACAATGGATTCACTATAGTTCACCTAAATATTATATGACTATTTATACCTTAATTTCCAGAACCAGTTTACGCGGAAAACAGTCCAATGCTGCATTTGTCCATGTTAATATTTCTGCCTATATCAACCTGTGTTGACTTTGAAAACTCACTGTTGTCAGACCATGATTCTTCCGAATTTTGAAGGGACAGGTAGTTTGTGCGAAATAAAACACATCATACACACTGGCTTTCACATACTATATTCTCTGAAGTACTCTCGTCCTGAAAGTTTCGGAGATAAAACGGCAGTTTGTCACGGGCGATTCTCGTGCTGCTCTGTTAAACGATGAAACGCGGGTTGAGGAAAATTTTTCGGATGTCCCTCTGGGGGTCCACAAGTTAGATTTGATACGTTCTTTATGAAGGTTTACCCTCAGTAAACAAATTATATCCAGATCTACGGACATAGCTGATGATTTTGAATAAAAACGAGTGAGACAGTTTAACTGGTTAGTTGATCTGAATCATTCCAGCTCACCGGTTTGAGAATCCAACGCTGATTATCTCCCTCCTCGTCCCAAACTTTTTTCAAAGCGTCCAAATCTCCAGGAAGGCAGAACGTTTCTGGCATGAAACTGAAATTCTCCTTGCCAAACTTTGCTTGCATATGAACAAGGTTTTTCCACAACCGATCCTTACGCCCAAGATGAAACGAGCATGGCAAATGATTAACCTAGAATGATGGAACAGTTTGAGGTGCACATTGGAGCACATTGAAGCAAATATCGAGACCAATCTATGATAGTATAAAGCCGTCGACAAACCAAGCTAGCAGGTAGTAGGTTCTGTCAAGTTCGTCTGTTAAACAAACAGTTTCTTTTCTTTGTCGGCTACTTTTTTATATTATACAGTAATCCGCTATGGCAAGAAGCCAGAACATACGCTATGTTACGAGTAAACGAATAATGGCAGATGAATTTTTGTCATTTATTTCAGGTATCGATGAACCAGGAAAACTGTGTAGGCGTTCACTACTTGATATAAATCTGCTTGCTTTCATGTCGTTAACCCAGTCTCTGAATCATATTTATCAATAGATATACGACAACCGAGACGAGCGATGCACGGCTTACCTCATCGAAGGCGAAAGCATGGTCAGTAATTTAGAAAACGTCTGTACTTACAAACCTTCTGAGACGATGTCGACACCTGGAGAGTAATGTTGATTTTTACAACGAAGGGAGAAAAACACAAATGTAAGTCAGTTTTCTAGTCGTTCTACAAAGTTGGCAACCAAAGGCAGAACCTCAGTTGCATGGTGTGCATGTATCGTGCATAACTGTGCTCTCAGGAACGAATTCGGGTCACGAGACGTATACAATTACTCTTGAAAAATAGTGGGAACTTATCTGGCCGTAATTGTTGCAAATTCCCAAAAAAATTTCTTGGACAGGATGTTGCTGACATACCCCATATATTAATGCCTATTTAGGCGACCAGTTTTAGCAAGCTAGCACTTTTTCAACGACCTTTGGGGTGCCTACTTAATTCGAGTTTAAGTTGATATAAGTCTCCAGTCAACAAGTCACGAGAACTTTAAGGGGCTTCACGCACTACAGTGAGTTAGTTGTCACCATCGTCATCGCCACCGACACCGTTAACGAAAACACGGGTTTTAAGAACTGGTCTCACCGTGCTATACAACCATGGCTGTTTTTTGAAGACAAGTCAAATTTTGAAAAATGACAAAAGATCAAGCGCAAACCACCGATGATTCTTCAAGGGTTGTAATCCCAGTACCTAGTCAGACAAGGTGAAAGTGGACTGTTTTTAAAAATGATGTTGACAGCGCTTGCATCTGCTTCTGGAATAGGGAACAACATGAACCTTCAAATTAAAAGCCGAACAACACACTCGTAATCTGTGACCAGGATTTCGGGCGTATTCTGTTAGTGCAAAGTTCGACTGACAAACGTGATCGCGATTGGCAACAAGCACAACATCGGTGTTCAGTGCTGATGCTTCACTGCCGTACCGTCGACGAACAAATGATTGCGAAACCATTTTGAGTTTTTGTGACATCTGTGTCCTTAGTTGTTACATGGGGTCGATGCAGGTGCTAAAACAGAATTTAACAACTCCAAATCCAGGATGATTTATTCTACGTCAGGTGTTTGTTGCTCAAGACAGAGGCACGATATTGACATGGTATACAACTCATTTTTCTGGGTATCGGTGACACTTACTTTTTGGTATTCGCGAATCGAACGAAAAACCTGAGGTCTCATGTGTTTTCCAAAGTAGAAAATCCAGTCCGATGACTCTAAATAGGGGGTGAAAGTACGGTCAGAATGCGTGGATACCATTTTATAAATTGTGCAGACAGGGTCGTTTGACAGTGGCAACTAAGAATACGTCATCATACATTAGTAACTTATTTGTTTTAAACGGTTGTGAAAAGCGCTTAGGAGGAGTTCAGGAAACATCTCTGCACACCACATTGCAGGTGTGACCGTTGATACATCAGTAATTGAATCTTTGAGTATCACACGCTGACTTCGGGAGCAGCTAGTGACTGGAGCTAAATAGTGGTTTTAATACTGCTTCTCAGGGCACAATTCCATACTTCCGTAAACTAAGGCAAAATAAGTAACTCATAAGGAGAACAAATTGACAAGGTGACCGAACCTTCCATCTGAGAAGTCACCACTGGAGTATCCGGTTAACACATGGTTACGTGACTTAACTCCTGCGATTGAAGAAGTAGCGGAACTATACCCTATCTAAATAAGAGCCAACTACACCGCTGAGCAGCTGCTTGTGGCCGGACGATTAAGTGTTCAATTCCTCACCCAGGAGGTCACGAGTTTTAAAATCACTAGAGTTTCTTGAAGTGCGTACTACTGACGATTTCCAATGAGGACGGAACAATTGTGCAGCACTTCTCAGTTTGCCAGCGCAGGACAAAATTTGGCTTTAAAAGCAGGATTTTCTATAATTTAAGTAAGCAGCTGAGTTTAGTAGCCTTCAAAAGAGCATAAATGTCTGAAATTTGAAGGAACGGAGAAATTTCAAAAAGTGAGTCCTAACTGTGGTTCGTTTTCTAAAGAGTCTAAAACACAAGCAAAATACATCAAAGTACACCGTGATTCACTTTTAAAAACAGGTTTAGCAGGAGGGCCAATTCTGTAATAGTTCAGCGTGCATAAAGACCCCGTCGCACTTGGGACCTGGAATAAAAAGCACTATGTAACAATATCGTTAACAGAATGCTTGTTATCCGTCCACAATCGGCCTGCTGCGTCGCCTTGTCCTCGTTGTTATCGAAACCACAATAGCCAGCGGATTGGATTACGGCATTCTCACCACAAATACTCATACCGCTGGTCCAGTTATGCGGGTAGAATTAACCGTCTTGATGCAGCACTCACTTTCGCTTGTGGAGGAGAGCATCATTCGGTAAACGTTATATTCTGAGTGATGCAAAATCAGGTACCTCGGTAGCACGCCATTCTTCGCAGTTGAGTACCCTGCTGGCTAGAAAGATGTAAACTAACAGAGCTTGCATAAGCACCTTCGTTGCGAATGTACACTCATTTGCAAACTAATTTTGTTTTTCGAGAGACTCACCTGGAACCCAGCTGAGTCACCCCTTTGTGATGTTCTCAGGCAACTGAATGTGCTGCACCAGGCCGCCTCATGTTTCAGTCGCTACGATATTCGAGATATCGCAGTAGAACATAAAGCTGACGGAAACCCGGGACTGCGCCGGCCTGATGAGCCCCAAAAAGGGTGGAACCGGTCGTGGGCTGTCGACGGATTTTCAGCAACCTTATGAGTAGTACATTACAAACACCTTCGTTGCCTCAGTACAGAAAGGATTGGACGTATACGTTTGTCGCAATTAATGTCCTAGAACATTGGGCTTACGGATTAACGGATCAATCAGACGTAAATAAATTCTTCGTAGGCATAAAAGTACACAGAAGCTGAAAAGGCACATAGTTTTCTGATTTGCTCTTTCAGTTTATTTGACTTTGTTTATGGTTCTGGACGTCGTCCTTCAATCTTTTGGAGTCCTGGCATACATTTTAACGTGAAATTTTCAGGAAGAACCTAATATCATCTGGGAAATTCTCCGGCTCCTAGACTAATGCTTGAAACATTCATGTGTTCAACTTACCAATCGGTTTGTTTAAACAACGAATCTTAGCGCACCATTTGGTACATATAGCTTATTGTACCAGAACAATTTACTGGAGCTGGATTGTTATTTTAGACGGTTTCCTCTGTGAAGGCCAGCTCTTTGTGCCAACCAGAGGTGATTTTAACTTGGAAGAATTCACCAGTTGAATGCGTTTTGAAGACATACAAATAAAAGCAGTGTAGTGCTATCTAGTATGATCAATCAAATAAATTCGGAGCAAATTATATTATGTTTACGCCTCATGCTAAATAATAAAGTAATTAGGGAATCCAGCTCCTGGAAATTTCATGAATGAGTTGAATCAGGTCAGGAAGACCTCAGATGAGGAAAACGACTGAAACTCGTCTGTTTAGTAAAGCTTCTGGTATGCAAATCGGGTAATTAGGGAATCCAGCTCCTGGAAAGTTCATGACTGATGTGAATCAGGTCAGGAAGGCCTCAGATGAGGAAAACGACTGAAACTCATTTGTTTAGTAAAGCTTCTGGTATGCAAATCGCGGGGCGACTGCTGTGCAATAGGTTCATGGTTCCTATTAATAGACACTTACCGATTGTATCCAAATCTTCTGTCGCTGACGTCACTAGGATGGTCGGAAAACAAGCATAACAATTACGCATCGGCTTACTGTGGGGAGTTGCGCAATGTGAAACTGGACATTTAACTCCATATTGCAGATTAAAGCCGCCTATGTTCACTTACCAATAGATTATAGAGTGCAATTCTTAATCAGGTACAATTATTCGGTACCTCTGTACTGAGAGACCACTCAATATTCACAGGTCCGGTTGCTTTCGTGAAAACAGACATGGAGTAATAACATTCTGAACAATTCTAATACGGCGATAGTCCGGTCTCTTTTGGCAGGGAACAAAAATTATCGCTTACCCTTCTTTCGATGAGTATGTAGAATATCAGGAGGAAGCCCAGTAACCGAAATAGAAAAATTATCGTCTTATCATGTGAGAGATATTTACTTTAATCGCCAAGTAGCTTCAGACAGAGGAAGAAGCTACCCCGGATTTCTGGGGAGATTACCTGGGTTCTACAAAAAA